TTTGATTCCCGGCTGGGCCATGGAAACTCACTGGGTGACCTTGGGCGAGTCACACACTCTCAGCCCCACGGAAAAAAAAAGACGAGAAGATCCTTTTGCATGCTGATTTTCCAGCCTACCAAGGCTATCTCTTTGGATTCCAACAACAAAATTGAGGGACAAAGGCCAGGGAGAGTGGATGACCCCACGAATGGTGGAGGGAGTTTCGGAATAGTCTTATGTGTAATGAACCCAGAGGTAAACCCTATTGAATTCAAGGCAGCTTGAATCCTACTGAATTTCTATTGCATTTCAAAGCTCCCAAAGTTCCAGATCTGGGTCCCTCAAATGTTTTTGAAGACCTCAGTATTGGCAAGCAAATTGTTATTAATTTTGGCTATTTGCAGAGAGGGGTCTAGATAGTACAAAAAGTCTAGATAGTACTTTTTCCATCCCTCTTCCCTGAAACATGCTACTAGACTCCTTCAATAGGAATATGAGGTGCCCTACTCGTCTTCAGTGTAGCTTACACCAAAGTAAAGGGGCAAAGTAGGACAGATTGTGGGCAAATTTTATTATTCTTGAAAGGGGTCAGTGACAGTTTGTTGTGCGCCTTCAATTTGTCCCTGTGTGCCTAAGGTTTTTCTGGGCAAGACTTTTTTTTCCCAGAGCAGATTTGCCCTTGCCTTCCTCAGTGGCTGAGAGAGTGTAATTTGCCTATCATCACCCAGTGGGCTTCTATGGCCGAGGAGGGATTCGAACCTTGGTCTTTAGTCCAACACTCAACCCTCTCCATTCTGGCTCTTTCAACGACAATAGACGGCGTAGGTCCAAAAACACACTGCAGAAATAATCCAGTTTGAGACCTCTTCAGCGGCCCTGGCTCAATGCCAGGGAATTCTGGGAACTGTAGCTTTGTGCCTTCTCTGTCAGAGGGCTCTGGTGCCACAATAAACTACAATCCCCAGGATTCCTTAGCACTGAGCCAGGACCGCTGAAGAGGTCTCAAACTGGATTATTTCTGCAGTGTGTTTTGGACCTCAGTCTGTGTTTGTGTTTGTGTGTGTTTTCTGACTGATAAGGGGTGTGGAGGCTCAACAACACAGGAATTTTGCCCGATCTTTTGTGTGATCTTTTGCTCAGCCCTATCGCTCCGGGATTCATGCGGAAACCAAGGGCCTTTGCAGACTGCTAGAAATAGTGCAAATTGAGTCCACTTTAAGGGTTAGGGTTACGGAATCATGGGAACTGTATTTTATTATGGCACCAGAGCTCTCTGACAGAGAAGGCTCAATGACTCAGGGAAAAAAAAAATCAATTCCCATGATTCCCTAGCACTAACCCTAACCTTAAAGTGGACTCAATTTGCACTATTTCTGGCAGGTTCAAATACTAAGAAGTGAGGCACATCTCCTTTCTCCTTCTCTCTCTGTGTTAGCTCTAACATTTTAGCATCTTCATTTTGCCTTTAAATGTCTTCCAGGAAAGACTTTGGAGATTGTTAGGATCTGGGAAAGGCAGGTTTGCTTGGGTGGGATCTCTTAGCCTGGCTTGGAGAGAAAGCCTTGGTATCTACTAGCCAGAGGCCAATGCTGGCCAGCTTGCTGTCAGGAAGGCAGTGACCCCGGGGTTTACTAGGCTTTTTGGGAACTCCTTCACTGAGGTTGGGGTTTTTTTTGGAGGGGGGGGAGTGGAACTATAACTCCTGGAGTTGGCATCCCAGAGGCTAGAAAAAGTCCTTCCTTTTTTAAGCATCGCAAAGAAAACTCTGCAAACTGGTTTGTAGCATGTTGGTTTTTTGCCAAGGGGAAAATATTGCTAAATGCAACCAGTTTGCCCCCCTTTTCTCTTCAACTTGGAGAAATTCCTCTTTTTGGAGCAATAACTCCGAGCATTCCCTCATTCAGCATTGAGTTGCAGCCCATAAAAAGCAACTGTAGGTGCATACACTGTAGAAATAATGCAGCTAGACACCATTTTAAGTGCTGAAGCTTCATCCTATGGAATCCTAGGATTTATAGTTTGAAAAGATCGTTAGTCTTCTGTGCCAAAAAGGGCTGGTGCCTTCTCAAACTACAAATCCTAGGATCCTGGAGTCTGGGCAGTTCAAAGTGGTCGTTAAAAAAGTCAAACTGTGATGTCGAATGGCAAAGCAACTTGCCAAGAAACCCCCATGATGGGTTCGCTTTAGGATCGCCATAAGTCGAAGAGGACTTGAAGGTACAACAAAGGCAGCAAGAGGCATCCTCTGCTGCCAGCTGGGAGTTGTAGGAGTCTGGGAACGATATCCTCAAATTTGCTGGGAGTTGTAGCTGCAGGAAAACTATTTTTTTTTCTGGGGATTCTGGGAGATGTAGTCCAAAAAAGGTAACTTGTTCCTGTTGGATGGGTGGATCAGAATGCAGCCTTGGACTCTGGGCTTGACCAAAAGATTTTCTTTCGCCCACGGACCCAGTTCGCCTCTGGAGGGCTGCTTTTCGTTCAAAGGTAAGAAGGGAGGCACCGGAGAAGTCCCTTTCCTCCTGTTAAATAACGCATTTCAAGGAACAAGAGGGAGACATTTCGGAGAATGGCCGATTTCTTGTTTCTCACCCTGCCTTTGTCATCTTTAACTTATCGCGACCCTAAGGGGAACTATACCACTGGGTTTCCTTGGAAAGTTTCTTCGGAGGAGCCTGGTTATTGCTTTCCTCTAAGGCTGAGACAGTGTGACTTGCCCAAGGTCACCCAGTGGGTTTTTATGCTCCAGCAGGAGATCGAACCCTGGTCTACAAGAGTGATAGTCCAACGCTCAAACCACTACACCACATTGCCTCTCACCCTGCCTTTTAATTCTTTTGGGCTAATAGGAGAGCAACAGTTCCCTCTGCAAAGTTTGGAGTCAAGGCAAGCGCGCTTTGCTTCAGTCACAGCCAAACAGCGCCGCCATGCGGCTAAAGAGCGAACAGCGGCGACCAGTAATAAAAAAACAATCCGCGGTGAAATGGAGGAAAGTTTTAGCAGGACCAGTGATTTTCTCCTCATCCATTTTATTAGTCCTAAACATACAAAGCATCCTGTAGTGCTTTAAATATGAAACTGATTTATGCCAGCATCAATGTTCCAAGACTGGGGCCTGCTTCATTATTTGCAGAAAGGGTAATTCTACATTGACTTATAATGCAGTGGTGTGGGATTTTGATTTGTTTATTTTTTTTTCAAAGTAAGCAATGAGATCAAGGGAATTCCCATTCACAGAATGAAGGCTCTAATAATTGCATTAAAGCTTAAATGCATTTTATCCAACCCCAGATATTCATTAATTTTGTAATATCAACATTGTGTTGTGAATTGTTCTTCTTGCTATTGTTGTTGTTGTTGTTGTTGTTGTTGTTGTTGTGTGCCTTCAAGTTGTTTCGGACTTATGGCCACCCTAAGTCATGAAGTTTTCTTGGCAAGTTTCTTCAGAGGGAGTTCGTCATTGCTATCCTCTGAGGCTGAGAGAGTGTGACTTGCTTAAGGCCACCCAGTGGGTTTACATGGCTGAGCCTGGATTTGAACCCTGGCCTCCAAAGTCATAGTCCAATGCACAAACCACCATGCCGGTAATGTAATTATTTTACATACACCTCAAGACATAAAGGACAATGTCTGTTTTTACATTTCTTTTTCCTTTAAACTCATTCTTAGTATCTCCCCCCATCCCTTCCCCATATACTTATACCTATACCTGCCAACTCAGAATAAACTCCACACATCTAACTACCTGTAAGTAGGATAGGCAAATGCCAGGATAAATGTGTTAGTTATTATGGTGCCACTATAAGTTTCAAATTGTTCCCTGGGAGTAAATGCAATCAAAGCCACTTTTTCCATGTAGAGATTCAAGAAAGGGGTGTCTTGAGGACCACATCATACTGTGATCACAATGAGCTGAATCCTGGCTCAGTAATACCTACAGAGGAGGACTCATTGGAACCAATGGGGCTGAGAGATGCTGCCACATTGCAGAACTAATGCTTTAATTGTCATGACTCCACGCTATGGAATCCTGGGATTTGTAGTTTGTTGTGCCACCAGAGCTCTCTGACGGAGAAGGCTAAATATCTCACACAACTACAAACCCTAGAATTCTATAGCACTGAGCTAGGGCAGTTAAAACAGTGTCAACTTGCATTAATTATGCAGTGTAGATGCAACCTAGCTCTGTGTTGTGTTGTGTGCCTTCAAGTTGCTTCAGACTTATGGTGACCCTATGGTGTTTTCTTGGCAAGCTTTGTTCAGAGGGGGTTTGCTTTTGCCTTCTCTGAGGCTGAGAGAGTGTGACTTGCACAAGGTCACCCAGTGGGCTTCCATGGCTGAGCAGGGATTCAAACCCTTGGTTTCTAGAGTCATAGTCCAGCACTCAAACTACACTACCACACTGGCTGTACTCTCACCAATTTCAAGGGCTCTGCTCTAATACTGTCTCTGTCTATCTGTAACAGTTATATCACTTTCAAGCCACTTTTTAATTATATCTTTATTAGAATAAAATCATACATATAATAATAAACAATTACAAAAGACAAAACAACAGCAACATAAAAAAAACAAATATTAATCTCAATTATATATAGCTAAATATGTGGTACAAATACCCAGACATGTACACATTCACAATGTACCTGACAATTGCAAACAAATAAGACCTTCCTGAGCTTTGTTATTTCCTTCATTTTCAAAGTTTAGGGATAATTCAATTTCGTTTCTTT